AAGTTCGAGGCTTCTCTTCCCAGACCTCTTAAGATAACTACTTGCCTCTCTCTTCTTAATCAGTGGGGGGATCCAAAGGATCCCCGGGGCCTTAGGGGCTTCAGAGGCCGGCCTACGGCCCCCCATTAACTGATGTTATCTTACCTGAGTCTTATCGGTAGGAGTCTTCTTAATAAGAAGGGTTCTCTTATGTGAGGGGGGTAAAGCCCCCGGGAAGTGGTGAAGTGGAACTTACAGGTTCTCTAGTTAGAGAGCACCCTATTGGACTCGAACCAATAACCCACGGTTTCGAAGACCGTTGCTCTATCCGATTGAGCTAAAGATGCGGTAAGAAGAACCTTAAGGGGCGCCGGGCGGTGAGTTTCTAAAGAGGGGGGATAATAAGGTAACTCATCCTACTTAAGGCTTATCTTTCTTATTGAAGAATACCAGCTAACTACTCAAGCTATCTTTTTGAGAGTTATCCGTAAGAGATACGGCAATTTTGCTTGATATCTCTTAAGCAAGAGGACAGGCTACTTAACCTTATTTTAGTGGTAGGCTACTGAACCTGGCCCTGAAGTAACCTTAGCTCCTTCTCTTACTAGCTTACGACTAGCTGCCTACCTTAAAGGTTTAGTAAGAGTTAATGATAACTTCATTTTGACTTCTTTTTGAGGTGAGTAACACCCTATTTTACCCCCCTCTTGCTGAAGTAGCATCCGCGATACCTCTGAAACTAATGAAGTGTTACACGAGTAAAGATTCTCACTTGGCCTTCTTTTAAGGCAAGGCAACCATCGAAGAAGAGACTTACTGGCCCCCCTCAGTAGAGCAAGAACTAAGGATTCTTCTACTTTAGCTTCTAAATAGAATAAACCTGATTCAAACAAGAGGGTAGATAGGGAGGGTATTATTTGAGAAGAGGAGTAAGAAGGGAAGTTTGATGAGGCTATTTGATTAGGAACGAGGCTATTTCTCTACCTAATCTCAAATCAAGAAGCCCCGCCCTAATGGGCCCGGGGTTCAGATAACCCCCGGTTTAGGGGGATCCAAAGGATCCCGGTTTACCCCCGCCTTTAGGCCCCCCCCCCTTTAACTGTCTTTCTATCGTCGATAC